GGGCTTGAACTCTGGGCTTGGGCACTGTCCCTCAGCTCTTCAGCTCCAGGCGAGCTCTCTACTGCTTGAGCCACAGCGCCACTTCCAGTTTTCTAGTGGTTTATTGGAGATAAGAGTCTCACGGGCTTTCCTGTTCGGGCTGGCTTTGAACTGAGATCCTCAGATCTCAGCCTCCTAAGTAGCTAGGATTACAGGCGTGAGCCACTGGCACCTGGCTCCATTTTTCTCTTGTATGATGAATAGCACCTAGCTATTACCTGTGCTAACAAGCTCTTTAGCAAATGGTTGCTTGCTTGGCTTCATTTTTTGACATGTTTTCACTACATACCTAACCAGTATTTTTTGGTTCTAGTGGGGTTTGAACTCAGGGACTTGAACTACCTAGGCAGGTGCTTAGGCCATGTTTCCTTTATCCTCATTTTCTCCCCCAGTCCTGTGGCTTGAACTCTGGGGCTTGGAGTTGTCACAAAGCTTTTATGCTCAAGGCTAGTACTCTGCCACTTAAATCACAGCTCTGCTTCTGGCTTTTTTTTGGGGGGGGGGCAGGGAGTTGGAGTTGGTAGTGGGGCTTGAACTCTGAGCCTGGGCGCTGTCCCTCAGTTCTTCATGTCAAGGCTAGCACTCTACCACTTGAGCCAAAGTGCCATTTCTGGTTTTCTGGTGGCTAATTGGAGATAAGAGTCTTAGAGACTTTCCTGCCCAGTCTGGCTTTGAACTGTGATCCTCAGATCTCAAGCCTCCTGAGTAGCTAGGATTACAGGCATGAGCCACTGGTGCCCAGCTTATTTCTGGCTTTTTGTGGTTAATTTGAGGTAAGAATCTCACAGACTTTTCTGCTCAGGCTGGCTTTGAACCAAGATCCTCAGATCTCAGCTTCCTAAATAGCTAGGATTATAGTCACTGGTGCCTGGTTCCAGCCTTTTTTAAAAATAAGGACTCTACCTTTATCACCGTCTTATTTAAGCTTCTCAAGTAGCTGGAATGACAGGTGCACGCCACTATGCCCATCATATTTATTGGTTAAGATGGGGTATTGAGAACTTTTGCCTGAGCTGATCTTGTTCATGATCTTCTTGATTTCCAGCCTCATGAGTAAACATAACTACAGGCATGAGCTGCTTGGTGTAGTTGATAATCTTTATTTCTGAAACCTCACCAAAATGACCTTTATTGGGCTGAAAATGTGGCTTAGTGGTAGAGGGCTTGCCTTGCATGCATGAAACCCGGGGTTCGATTCCTCAATACTACATAAACAGAAAAAACAAACAACAACAACAAAAAAAACAAGTGGTGCTGTGGCACAAGTGGTAGAATGTTAGACTTGAGCACAGAGAGGTTCAGGGACAGAGCCCCAGCTCTGAGTTCAAACCCCAGGACCAGGGGGGGAAAAAAGACCTTCACTGTCTATTTCTATATTATTCTGTTTTTTTTTTGGGGGGGAGGGATTGGGAAGGGGAGAAAGTAGGGGCAGGTATGGAGCTGCTGCTGGGAATTGAACCCAAGTCAAGTCCTGTACCACTGAGCTAAACCTCCAGCCCTCTTTTTGGTATTCTAGGTATAATCACTTAAGTCATCTCTAAGAAATTCCAGAGTTCCAGACTTCCCTAATCATCTTGTCATTTTCTGAGCCCTCAGTAGAATGGCCTATAATGCTGTTAATGACAATATGGCAGTTCAGTCTTTATTTATTTCCTTGCAGAGTTTGGCTTTGTAACCCAGGCTGGCCTGGAACTTACGATCCTCCTTTGTATCTGGAGTGTTGGAATTATAAGTGTGTCCTATCAAGCCCCTATTGGAATAATTTTTTTTCAGCATTGCTTCAAAACTTCTAGCTTTGGGGCTGGGAAAGTGGCTCAGCGGTGGAGTGCTTGCCTTAAATGCATGAGGCCTTGGGTTTCGATTCCTCAGTACCACATAAGCAGAAAAAGCTGGAAGTGGCACTATGGCTCAAGTGGTAGAGTGATAGTCTTGAGCTGAAGACCTGAGGGACAGTGCCCAGGTCCAGAGTTCAGGCCCCACGACCAACAACAAAAAAAAAGAAAGAACGAAAAAAACCCCCAAAAAACAAAAAAACTTCTAGCTTTTATTCAGTTCCTAGTTTCAATGCCACTTACATTTTCAGATATTGTTAGTACATCAACAAGACTAGTGCTGAGAAACTCTGTCCTGTGGTATATTAACTCTTTTTATTTATTTATTTATTTTTTAAATTTTATTTTATTTGTGAACATACTGTACAGAGGGGTTACAATTGCATGGGCAGGATAATGCGTACATTTCTTACCAAGCATTGCAGCCTCCTTTGTTTACCCTTCCCATCCCTTCCCAGCCTCCCCCCTCCCCCCATCCCAATCCTTCTCCTCCTCCCCCCCCCCCGCACCGACGTTGTAAAGCTCGTTTTGGACATGACAACTTGTACTTCTCATTGTTGCATCAGATCCACCTGTATCCTTAAACAACTGTATTAACTCTTTTTATAAATGAGGAAAATAGAGAAGTAACTGAGACACAAGACAAGTAAACAGCAATACTGTGACTAGAATTTAGGCAAAACAAATTTGAGCTCTTTACCTTACACAATATTACCACTTAAAGGAGTTTCAAGAAGATTGAAACTAAAAAAAGGCAGGTAGATTATGCAGATAGGTAGAAAAGCATTGCAAATTTTTGAGGATAAGTGGATGACTAATAGTTATAGTTACTAGGGACAAGAAAATATGAAGTGGGTTGGAACATACCTATAATCCTATACTCTAGAGGCAGAGGCAGCTAGGTACCCGTAGCTTATACCTGTGTAATCCTAGTTGCTCGGGAGGCTGATATCTGGCATGTCAGTTCAAAGCCAGTCTGGACAGGAAAGTCCTTGAAACTCTTATTTCATCAGAAGTGAAGCTATGGCTCAAGTGGCAGAACACTAGCCCTGAGCAAAAAAGCTGAGCAGTAGTACCCAGGCCCTGAGATCAAGCCCCAGGACTGGCATCATCAAAAAAAAAAAAAAAGAATGTAGAAAACAGTTGTTATTAAGATGTTATTGATATTATTATCAACTTAATGTTATTAAGTTGTTAGCAAGACTTTTGGCTGTGACTCCTTAGTGGAAGAGTACATGCTTAACCTATGGGCCTCTTTTCCCCCCATAAGTAAGAAGTTGCAGTGCCCCAATGATGGAATACTAAATGTAACTCAGTTAGGATTACTCTTTTTTTTTTTGGTCGGTCATGGGGCTTGAACTCTGGGTCTGGAAACTGTCCCGGAGCTCTTCAGTGGTAGGCTAGACCACTTGAGCCACAGTGCCACTTCTTGTTTTCTGAGTGTTTTATTGGCGATAAGGGTCTCACAGCCTTTCCTGCCAGGGCTGGCTTTGAACCATGATCCTCAGATCTCAGCCTCCTGAGTAGCTAGGATTGCAGGTGTGAGCCACCAATGCCTGGAAAGATTACTCTTTTTTTTTTTTTGGGGGGGGGTCCGGTCGTGAGGCCTGAACTCAGGGCCTGGGCACTATCCCTCAGCTCTTCAGCTCAAGGCTAGCACTCTACCACTTGAGCCACAGCGCCACTTCCGGCTTTTTTTTTCTGCTTATGTGGTGCTGAGGAATCGAACCCAGGGCCTTAAGCATACAAGGCGAGTGCTCTACCACTGAGCCACCTTCCCAGCCCAGGATTACTCTTATATTGATTGAACTTATTACTTCTAGAATAATAAATCTGCTTTCTGCTACTGAGCTATACCCCAACACTGAACTACTCATTATAAAGCCCTTTCTTATCCATTTTGCCTGAAAATCTACAAGCTTAGGCTTTCCTGTAGGTACTTCAATGGCTCTCTAACCCAGTCTTGGTTGGTTGGTTGGTTTGTAGTGCTAGGGATTTAACGTAGAGAGTTGTGCATGCTAGAAAAGTGCTATACACTAAACCACATTCCCAGCCCTTCTTTATCAAAAATATAATCTATACAAAGCCAGAATCTATTCTGTTGTATACCTCTAGTGCCTGGCAAATATTCACACACAATAGGCATTCAGCATATGCTTACTGTAGAATGGAATTCCATACAGAACACAATAAGAAATTACAAAGTTGTGCTCTCCCTTTTCAAGGTAAGTATTCATTCCTTAATGCATCTTTGTAAAACCTGCCTCCCATGTGTTGTAATTACTCTGTTATTTCCACTTGCTCATTGCTCATATCTTAGGTAATTGCTGGCTTCAATCGCCTTCGGCAAGAGCAACGGGGCCTGGCTTCCAAAGCAGCTGAGCTAGAGATGGAGCTGAATGAGCACAGGTGAGAAAATCAGAGAAAAACAATAGAAGAGTTGCATGGGCCATTTTGTGAGGGAGGGTTACAGTAGAGTAAAACTGAAGTCTGAGGTCCTGCTTTGTCCTCCTGTACCAGCCTAGTGATTGATACACTGAAAGAAGTCGATGAAACTCGAAAGTGCTTCCGTATGGTTGGAGGTGTGCTGGTAGAGCGGACTGTCAAAGAGGTGCTGCCTGCCTTGGAGAATAACAAGGAACAGGTGAGCAAGATTCCCTGATAAGGAAGAAGTGGTGGGCAGCAATTTAAGAAATATGACAGAAGAAGATCTGTGTAGAAACTTGTGTCAAAAATAATATAAAGGGGCTGGGAATGTGGCTTAGTGGTAGAGTGCTTGCCTCGCATGCATGAAGCCCTGGGTTTAATTCCTCAGCACCACATAAGCAGAAAAAGCTGAAAGTGGCACTGCGTCTCAAGAGATAGAGTGCTAGCCTTGAGCTGAAGAGCTGAGGGATACCACCTAGGCCTAGAGTTCAAGCCCCATGACTGACCCCCGAAAAAACAAAGATAACATAAATAGCCAGTTAATCTAAACCCTTTACACTGTGCCAAATCCAGTTCCTTGGACAAGGAATTGTTGGGTATATGTCCTTCCATGGACTCTTTGATGTGGTTGATTTGGTGGGGGTTAGAGCAGTCTTTCTCACAGTATAGCCCATTGATACCTATATCAAAATCACTTGAAATAGTCCAACATTGATGGCTCATGCCTGTAATCTTAGCTGCTCTGCAGAAAAGTCTATATGACTCCCATCTCCAAAATGATCAGCAAGAAATCCTGCTGGAGGCATGGCTTAAGTGGTAATGTAACAGTGAAGTAAGCACACACACACATCACCTGAATAAAGCTGGGTGCTGGTGGTTCACGCCTATAATCCTAGCTACTCTGGGGGCTGAGATCTGAGGATCATGTTCAAAGCCAGCTTGGGCAGGAAGTCCATGATACTTTTTTTTTTTTTTTTGGTCAGTCCTGGGGCTTGAATTCTGGGCCCAGGTGCTATCCCTGAGCTCTTCAGCTCAAGGCTAGTGCTCTACCACTTGAGCCACAGCACCACTTCTGGCTTTTTCTGCTTATGCAGTGCTGAGGAATCGAACCTAGGGCCTCATGCATTCAAGGCAAGCACCCTACCACTGAGGCACCTTCCCAGCCCCTCCGTGAGATTCTTATCTCTGACTAACCACCAGAAAACTGGAAGTGGTGCTGTGGCTCAAGTGATAGAGTGCTTGCCTTGAGCTGAAGAGCTCAGGGATAGCACCTGGGCCCAGAATTCAAGCCCCAGGACCAACCAAAAAAAAAAAAAAAAAATCACCTGAACAGCCAGATAGTCATCTAGGATGAGGCTTGGGAGGTAAAGAACAGGGGATTGTGATTTGAGGCCAATCTGGGCAAATTTAAAAATATAAAATAGCTTTTAAGACTTCATTTCAACCAATGGCTGGGGCCTAGTGATAGATATCCATCATCCTAAGTTATAAATAAGCATAATGTTTAGGTGCAATTGCATATACCTGGCATCCTAGTGATAAAGGAGACATAAATAGGATCTCAGGGCAGGGAAGGTGGCTCAGTGGTAGAGCGCTTGCCTTGCATGCTTGAGGCCCTGGGTTCAATTCCTCAGCACCACATAAGCAGAAAAAAAGAAAAAAGCCGGAAGTGGCACTGTGGCTCAAGTGGTAGAACACTAGCCTTGAGCTGAAGAGCTGAGGGACAGCTCCCAGGCCCAGAGTTCAGGCCCCACGACCGCACCCAAAAAAATAATAATAGGATCTCAGTCCAGACCAGACCAGTCATAAAGCAGGACCCTACCTTGAAAATAACCAATGCAGAAAAATGCTAGTAGAGTGGCTCAAGTTGTAGGGCACCTACTTGGCAAGGGTAAGGCCAGAGTTCAAATCCTAGTACCACCACCAAATAAATATAAGTCATCTGGAGATCAAACTCATAATCTTATACATGCTAAGTACTGTCCCACTAAGCTATACACTCATCTCAAGAACTAATTTTATTTTTGGGCTGGGAAGGTGGCTCAGTGGTAGAGCACTTGCTTTGCATGCATGAGGCCCTGGGTTCGATTCCTCAGTACCACATAAGCAAAAAGAAAAAAGCTGGAAGTGGCACTGTGGCTCAAGTGGTAGAGCGCTAGCCTTGAGCTGAAGAGCTGAGGGACAGATTCCTCAGCACCACATAAGCAGAAAAAAAGAAAAAAGCCGGAAGTGGCACTGTGGCTCAAGTGGTAGAGCGCTAGCCTTGAGCTGAAGAGCTGAGGGACAGCGCCCAGGCCCAGAGTTCAGGCCCCACGACTGGACCTAAAAAAAAAAAAAGAACTAATTTTATTTTATATTACGATTTTTTATTTTAAGCAGACAGCAAATTTATATGGAAGTGAAAGTATAGACTATAGAGAAGAACTAGTTTTGTTTGTTTTCCTCCAGTCCTGGGGCTTGAATTCTGGGCCTGGACTCTGTTCCTGAGATTTTGTGGTCAAGGTTAGCACTCTCCCACTTGACCCACAGCTCCACCTCTGGCTTTTTGTGGTTAATAGGAGGTAAGAAGCCAGGCACTGGTGGCTTATACCTGCAATCCTAGCTACTCAGGAGGCTGAGAGCTGAGGATCACAGTTAAAGCCAGCCCAGGCAGGAAAGTCTGTGAGACTCTTCAGTAAACCACCAAAAAAACAGGAGTGGTGCTTGGCTCATGGTAGAGTGCTCACCTTGAGCTGAAGAGCTGAGGGACAGTGCCCCGGCCCAGAGTTCAAGCCCCACAACTGACAAAAACGAAACAAAAAATAGTAGGTAAGAGTCACACAGACTTTACTGCACAGGCTGGCTTTGAGCTGTAATCCTTAATACTCAGCCTCCTGAGTAGATAGGGTTATAGGCATGAGCCACCAGTGCCTGACTGAGAAGAACTAGTTTTAAATGGAACTTTCTGGATTCTCCTGAATCCACTGAATCAGAGCCTTGGAGGTAAAGTTTTAATATAAGCAGCACACATGATTCTTACATGTCTTGAAGTTGATAATCCATTGTTCTCAGAAAGGAATCCCATTGGTGTCTGGGCTCCATTATTAATATTTCTCTTAATGTAAGGTTAGGAATGTCATCTCTTTTCACATCTGGTAGCCCTACTTATTCGGGGAGGGAGGGGGGACTATATCATCATTTAATCTCTGTTGTTGCCCTTTAGATACAGAAGATCATTGAGACATTGTCACAGCAACTTCAGGCAAAGGGAAAAGAACTAAATGAATTCCGGGAAAAGCACAACATTCGTCTTATGGGGGAAGATGAGAAGCCAGCAGCCAAGGAAAACTCAGAAGGGTCTGGGGCTAAGGCCAGTTCCGCTGGAGTATTGGTCTCCTAGGAGCCTAGGCCTCTGCATTTATTTTTACCCTGACTCCCATTTCTCTTTATTGTTATTATTATTATTTTCTCTACTATTGTAATATTTTTTTGTTAATTAAATGTTTTGGTCAGAATGCTTAGCTGTAGCCTGGAACTTTCTCCTACTTTTAGGGGTGGAAATTGTTTAAGGGAAAGAACATAATTTGTGAGTTTTGTTTCCACTAGGTTATAGATCACAATATCAGAGGGAAAAAAATCCATACTTTGTCCTTTCCCTTGCAAATAAAGATGTCTACTTATTTGCTATCCTCCCCCAAAAAAGATTCAGATAAATGTTAACACTCAGATTGAAATTTAATAAGCATTTGAAGTAAGGTTGATAGCTCTGATAATGTTTTATGGGATTACAACAAAAAAGAGGTTTGGCAGTATGACTGGACACTATTCTTTAGATAAAGAGGTCCAGGATGCAGACCTGTGGGCTAGCTGTCTTGCCATCCTCACCAAAACCCCCAACCAGGTAAAGCTGATCATTCCAAAGGCAGGTGCGATGGCCCATCCGTTTCAATCCACGGTCTCCACAGGGAAAGTGGAACCATAGAGAAGGAGACTTGCCTGTTGGGTAGGGGTGAACGCTGGTTATTGAGGTGGACATACTTTCACCCATGGGACTCAGATGACCAAATGCCCATTTTTTCATTTGATTTGTGGGCTTCTTCAGATGCTTAATATTCTGTGTACTCCCTTAGCTTGGGTCCAATAATTCTTTCTCCTCCCTTGCCCATCACTATTCTATAGTCTTTTTTTTGGTGGGGGGGATCTGGTCGTGGGGCCTGAACTCTGGGCCTGGGTGCTGTCCCTCAGCTCTTCAGCTCAAGGCTAGCGCTCTACCTCTTGAGCCACAGCACCACTTCCGGCTTTTTTCTTTTTGCTTATGTGGTGCTGAGGAATCGAACCCAGGGCCTTAGGCATGCAAGGCAAGCGCTCTACCACTGAGCTACATTCCTAGCCCCTATTCTATAGTCTTTAGGTTCTGTCTTCCCCAATCCCCAACCATTTTTCTAGCTCTTACGGGTATCATAGATGTAGAGGTCATTGCAGATGGTGTCTCTGGCTTTGGTTAGACTTTCTCCACCAAACAGCACGGCAAAAGGCCCCACTACAGAACATGAGTGATGCCGCAATCCCTGGGGTCCCTGCCGGGATCCCTGCCCACTGCTCACAAGTTTTGCAAGCTGTTCAGTCAGACGAGGGGCAGCTGGTGATTCCTCCTTAGAGAAAGAAAGGATTGCATGAAGGGATTTGAATATCACAATTTTAACACCTTTTCACACTAGCGAGTTAGGAATAGTTAATACCTTAATCTTCCCATGATTCCACCGACCAGCTACTTCTGGTTCAGCTGAGTTACAACCCCCAAAGAGTAATAGCTGATGCCCTGGATGGGGCCCAGGAGTTTGAAGCAGGGCAGCACAGTGACCTGAGCGAGAAACGGTATGGCCTTCTTCCTTGTAGCTGTGGATGTGCAGAAATTCAGGCCTGAGTGTTAAGTTCTGGGAAATGTACTGCCTTTCTCCCACATCCCTTGCTGAGGATAAAAAGAAGGCAATGGGTAAGATCCCCAGGAGGGCAAAAGAGTTCACCTCTTAGACCATGGTGGATTCTGGGAAGAAGCATGCTAAAGGATGTAGATAACTCCCTGGAAACAGTTTTAGCCTTTTCCAAATGGTAGATGAAAGGAAGGTGAGTGGTTTTGGCAAGGGGGTACCATACCAATAGGTGCGGGCGCCAGGATTCAGCTTTAACGTGTAGATACTTCCATAGCGTCGTTGAGTTCGGACTCCACCCTCCCGGCCTGCCACCCGCAGTTCTCCATCAGAGAGAAGGGTGCAGGTGTGACTACTGAGGCCAGCAGGGGGGCAGTTGCCAGAGGTAGCCGTCCAGGCCTCCCATTCTCTACGCTCTGTGTCCAGTGCAGCCACTGTAGTCAAGCGGCGTGACCCGTCCCAGCCGCCCACTACGCAAAGCCAACGTCCTCCCACGGGTGCTGCATCGTGGTGACTGCGTGGGGGGCCGCCTGGGGCTTCCAATCTCACGGCCTGGCCCCCAGTGGGGTCGAAGATCACAGTATCACTGCTGGGTTCCCTCGCTCCTCCTGCTAGGAGACCCCCTACCAGATAGAACCGTCCCCGCAGTTCGGTGCATGAATAGAAGGCCCGAGCCAGAAGCTCGTCCCGCGCCACTGGTCTCCAGGCCCAGCTAGGGCCCCCCGCCCGACCCGAAGGCACCGCCGCTGCCATGGGCCCTGGGAGGGGTAGGGCAGCAGGGATTGCGCCCAGAGGCGTACTCCTAAACGCCAGGCCAGGTTCCTTGCCTTTTGAGGGCTTCCTTGGAAAGCTCCCCCTCCAGAGCGGCAGCCCAGTTTCACCCCACCTGCACCGCCTCAAGCCGTTGCCCAGCAACCAAAGCAGGCGGCAGCACGACCGCTGCAAACGGAAGGTCGCAAAGCACCGGTTACCGTGGAGACAGGAGACGTGGATTACTACCCGGAATCGCACACGGGTATGATTATTATCTACACCCAAGCGACTGGGGATGTGCACAGTCAATAACAGTCCGGAAACATTGTTAACCTCAGAAAATCCCAGCGAAGCGAGTTCCACAGCTGAGAGCTGGTTTGCCTTCTTTGCAATTGAGGTGAAGGTGTTGCTCTAAGCGGGAGGGAACGTGTCCTTTTGGCTCCAGGGTGTCTTAACTTGGATAGAATTCCCCGGGGAAGAGGTAGGTAGCAGAGACAAGTCTGGGTGAAGTAGTGCAAGTGACCTGGGAGCCTTGCCTGTATTCTCAACTGTCTTTCTCACCCCGGACTTCCTTAGCTTTTTCGTTTGCAAAAAGTGCTGTCGCTTAATCCCTAAAGACTTTTTGGTAGCACAGACCTTTAGGGGAGCACTTTTAGCTCTAGCCACTAGAGGATAGTATAATCCAGTTTTTCAGGGTTGATCTCGGGCTACGCATGCACACAAACTGTGTGTTTGCACGCACACACGTGCTTTCTCATGGTTGAATTGAAGGATGCCAAGAAAGAGTAATTAAAAAAAAATTTCATCCTATCTTATTAGGCTCACAGAACGTGAAGAAGTAGAGGCACTATGGTATCTGTAATTTAGGCTTAAGGATGTAGGGAGTTTCTTCTGATAAAATGCAGGGCAGAAACTGCTCAGCCTTAGTTGCTAGATGAGGTGAGGTGGGGTAAGAGTGAGAAAATTGGATTGCTGTCCCTCCATTTTATCTAAGCCAGGACCCTGAACTTCTTAAGTAGGAAGGATGACTGCTCCTTTTGCCACTGGTTTCTACACTTGGACTTGCTCCTCATTGAACCTGAGAAATTGAGGTCATAGAGAGCGGCCAAGACTTCAGTAGAAATGGGTTGTGAGGGCTGGGAAGGTGGCTCAGTGGTAGAGCGCTTGCCTTGTATGCCTGAGGCCCTGGGTTCGATTCCTCAGCACCACATAAGCAAAAAGAAAAAAGCCGGAAGTGGCACTGTGGCTCAAGTGGTAGAGTGCTAGCCTTGAGCTGAAGAGCTGAGGGACAGCACCCAGGCCCAGAGTTCGGGCCCCACGACCAGACCCCCCCCAAAAAAAAGAAATGGGTTGTGATTCAAAGAGCTAACAACAGCATAGCAGAGCTTTCCCCCTACTGATCCTAACTGGGTCTTCAGAGAAAACAGGATGGACAGGATATGGGCAAGAAAGCACAATTGAGCTGGAAGCCAGTGGCCCACGCCTGTAATCCTAGCTACTCAGGAGGCTGAGGTCTGAGGGCTGTGGTTTGAAGCCAGCATGGCAGAAAAGTCCCCATGAGACTCTTACCTCCAATAAACTACCCAGAAAAAGCTGAAAATGCTGCTGTGGCTCAAGTGGTAGAGAGCTAGCCTCTTGAGCACAAAGAGGCTCAGGGACAGCACCCAGGCCCTGAGTTCAAGCCCCACAACTGACAAAAAGAAAGAAACAGAAGAAGGCACATTGTTACCACAATCTGGTAACTGACTGGTCACCAGAACCTGTTCTTCACTTGAATGTTAGAGCTGAGATTTAGCAATAGATTTAAATGTCTTTTCACACTAAATTAGTTTTCCCTACCTCTTACAGAAAGATCCTCAGTTTTCCAAGATCATGGTAAAAAAAAATCCCTTAAGCAAGCGAACAAACAAAACCCAATTAACTTCTAATTTCCTTGACTGAAATCTGAAAGCCAGTATTTTCCCGAAAGCTTCCCATTGGCTCACCTCCCAACAACATCTGACATACTCATAGGAGTAGGCAAGGAGCTGCCTGGGTGGTATGGTCATTTTGATTAAAATTTATTGCCTGAGTATACATTTTAGGCTCTTGCTTTTACCTATCTTTGGCTGTTCAACCAGTGTCTTATTTTGTGCCTCTACTCAAGAGAAATAGGAACTCTCCACTCCAGGGGCCTTTTAGCTTTTCTCCCAGCTTCATGTTCCTTTTCCTTCCAGTTTTGACTGTCTTTGAGTTCTTTACAGTAGACAGCTCACCTAGACATGGAACCTGAATCTTACACATTCCCTGCAGTTCTGTACCTCCTCCAGTTTCTTCTGGAAGCAACAGATGCTGTGCTATGACCCAAGATTATATTTTGGAAAAGGTGGTTACTCTACCACTTGAACATATCACTAGTTATTTTTTAAAAATATATATTTTTTGAAATAGGGTCTAAGTTACCCAGGCTAGCCTCAAATTTGCTTCATATATAGCTTTGGCCCACATGGAACTTGCTACATAGCCCAGGTTGCCTTCAAATTGATTTCTTCCACCTCAGCCTGAAGAGGAGCTGGGATTACAGATGTGAGTCCCTATGGCTGGCTGCTTTTTGTTTGTTTGTTTCTATGTGTTTTTTCTGTCTTTAAATTTCCATCTGTTTCTTTCTCTAACTTATTGGTCCCCCCCCCCCCATTTTGACTTGCCAGCAAGGAGCTTTGGCTCTTTCCAGGAATGGTCACATTTCTCTTGGGTTGCATTCTAGAATGATAGAAGCAGTGTGGGATCCCAGGGTAAAGTCATAAGCCTTGATTATTGATGAGGATTTGAACAAGTTTCATAGAGGAGGAGTTTCCCTTTGG